AAGAATATCTTTTGCTGTTGAGATTGGGTCTTGAAGACATTTTTCCCAGGCTGACCTTCAACCACAATCCTCCTGATCTCAGCTTTCTGATAGCACCAGGGCCTAACTCAATAGTCTGTGTTCATTAATAATCTCATGATTCTGATGCACACTAAAGTATGAGAACTACTGGTCTAAAGAGATGGCCCAAAGAACTCTTTAGAGACCCACCCATCCAAGCAAGGGATAATATTTATTCTATGCAAATCCTTAGTCTGCCAAAGAGCAAGTAATAAGCTGGATAATAATTATGTTGTATTTCTGTTGTTTTTCCAAAAGCTTTGTCCTAGAGCTAAGAATATCTTAGAAATGCACATGCTGCTACTTTAGAAGAGTTTATGTACTTATTATAGATGTATTATAGTATCACTTGTCTCCTTCCATCATCCAGTGGTGGTGGTGTTTGAGCCACGAGGGAGGGAGGTCTCTACCCTCATTAGGTTTTTATGTAAACTTACAGTCCTTTCTGGGAGATATTCCCACCCTTATTTGTACAGAGAAAACTGAGGGGAGAAGAATGTGTCCAAAATCACCAAGCACTAGACTTTGTTAGAGGTCAGTCTAGAAAGTGTGCCTCTGTCCAGAGCCATAATGCTGCCCACACCTCTGTTATCTTTCCTGAATAAGGCTTTATAACTGTTTCAACCCTTAGCTTTTCCAGTACGATTCAATAACACAACCTGTGTTGGGTCTGGTTACTTCTGAGCTGAGATGATGGACAGATTATAGGATGTCTCTCTGCCTGTCTTCTCTCCTGTAAGGTGGATTGTTTAGTGTTTCCCTCCAGTGTCATTGTGTGTGTGTGTGTGTGGGTGGGTGTACGTGCGCGCGCGTGTATGCACATGTGCGCACATGTTAGTGCACATGTTAGAGGAGACCTGGGAGATGAGCGCTCTCTATAAAGATCAGCTGCTGTTTGTTTTTCGTTATCTCACCTGCACCCTTAAAGCTTCTTTCCTTTAGGCTTATTTACTCTGAGACCTCGCTTTCTGGTAGGCTAGAAGCCTGAGTTTCACTCACAGAGGAATCTTCTGAATTCACAGATTTCCTCACACCAGGATCTAGTAGATTAGCAGCCTCTGATCCCCTTGCACTAGAATCTAGTGGATTATCAGCCTTTAAATCCATTACCTGGGGATCTGGTAGAATAATAGATTAGCAGCCTTTGAACCACTTACTTGGAGGAGTGGTTAACTAGCACCCTGGGATTCCCTTATATGTGGGTCCAGCAGCCCATGGCTTTTATCTGTTCTGTTTTGTTTTCTTGCTTGGCATATTTTGTACATCTTTAATGTTCTTTGTTTTGCCACTTTAAACTCATCTTGTTAGGACCTTGACATGTTTGTTTAACTCTATGGACTCACTCAAGATTCATGATCACAATTAACCTGGCATGGAGTCCCAGGAGGCAGCTCGAGCTCTTTCTGATGTTCCTCTCTGGCTTTCTGGGGACTCATCCTCATTAGCATTTATAACCAAAGAAGAGTGGAGGAGAAGTGACTCCCCAGGGCTTCTGGGTCTCTGTAAGGGGAGGCGAATTGCTTTTCTTTGTGACTATGGAGGAGGTTTGGGCTGAAGAGTGTCCCCCAAACTCAGTCTGTTGTTTCCTGATTCTGAAGCTTAAGCATCTGCTTTGTCAGAGTATGAAGGACCACACTAGTTCATGGAAGGCTTTTAGTTTATTTCTTGGTTTAATATGGGATCAGATGGATATTTCCTCTACAGAGTCAGGAGACAAGTTTTATAGTCTTGCCAGACTGATGAGGGGTCTGAGAATGGACACCCTGTGGTGGCTGGACCTGCCTCATCTCTGGACATTATTAACAGAACCATGGTGCCGTGATGTAGCCTTGTCCGTTCTCCCTGCTTCTACCACCCGTAGTCTTGTAGAGGTTTCTGCTTGAATGCAGGTGGGTGGGACTTCTTTGCCCATTTCTGGGGAGAGTAGGTGAGGACACTAACTTTGCAGCTTGCTCTGAAGACAAGGTCTCTGGCTTACTTTCCTATGTCCCTGGAGGCCTGTCATCAGAGAGCCAGCCTGGGACAATCATGATTTTGGCTTAGCTGTCGGTAAGTGTCTCAGGACACATTGGCCAGGGCTGCATGGGCTAAGTATGGGGTTCAGTAGATAATACACATGGCTTCTGTGAAGTTGCATTCAGATCCTTTACCTGTCCTGAGCTTGATGGGCACCGCATTCCCGGTGAAGTGGATTTTAGATGGCTTTGGTTGGAATATCTCACAGAGGCACAATTCCTTGGGCAAGCATCTACATTGTGCTCTGTCTTAGAACTGAGCAGTGCTGATTCTCCCTTCTCTCTGGAGAGGACACGCATGACCACATACTGCCCTGTGATCTATGAGGACATGCCTGTGCCTCCTCTGAGCCTGGTTTAGAAGTGAATCAACGTGAGGGAGGAAGAGAAGGAAAAGAAGCATCCATACATGGTAAGGCCAGAAGGCCACAGGCTTGCTCCAAGGTTGGCCACAGGAACTACAGAATGGATTGGCATGGCACCCCAGCTTCAATACAAAACAGAAAAGAAAAATGTGTCAGGCCCAGCAGCTGAGTACACCAAAGTAATGTAATACTGGACAAATACAGAGAAGAAGGCACAGGTGGTCCTTGTCAAAGCAGGGGCAGATGCTGGAGGGAGGGTGGACTAGGCATTTAATGTTCAGGCCCCAGCCGAATAGGCCTATGATCTTCATGACTAGAGTGGGAAAAGAAGCGTGGAGTGTCCTGCAATTCTGAGGCAAGCCTAGAGATCATGGAAATAAAGTCTAGGAACATTCCATGTCTGCTTTGGTCATTCATCCTGAGGATCTTTAGGGAATGAATGAGATGAGAGAGCCCTGGTCTAGAATAAGCTGATATTTTTAGATGCCATTAAGTAAGATAAGGAAATTAGGAGACCATTGCCCAGCCTTCTTAGGCTCAATACATTGCAATATGTATATGAAGCCAATTTGTAAGCTATAAAAAGACAAAAGAGAAGTTTTGGCAATGAAAGCCCTCAAAGCTATTTCTTCTGAGATAAGGCCTTCCTACTAGCCCAAGTTGGTAATTGTGATCTCCCTTCCTCAGCCTCCTGAGTGCTGGGATTACAAACATATCTCATCACACCTGGCTGAGACTAATAATTGAACTTTAATCTTGGCATAGGCTAAGTGTACCATCTGATTGGTCATCTCTTCTTTTTGTTCAACGTTCTTGAGATAATGATGATAACAGTAATAATAAGAATGCATGCCTTGTCAGTGCTACAATCATGATGGGGAGCAGTTTCTTAGAACTATGTAAAAACCCTCTGTAAACTAATGCATTTCATACAATGTACATCACACCAAACAAGTATCTAGTGTCCTTATTTTATAAAACATGCACAGGGTTACAATTTGTTTTTGTCTGTGGTGCATTTTAAGTTGAGTGATTAGAGTGTTTCGTTCTTTTTGGATTCAAGCTTAGCACTTGTTAAAATTGAAGACTAAGGGGAAAATAAACATTAAAGGAATGCATAATATTTCCAAATGAAGCTTTCCTAAGTTGAGGGTGAGCATGGGTAATACCAGAATATTGAGATCGAGTAGAGTTACATCAGTATGTTTAAAATATAGAAGTTATTACATAGTTTAAGAAAGATCATTCACTAGGCTAATATCTAATTATCAATATTCATAACCATAGTCCTTTGTAAAGCATTTCTGTATGAATATTGACCTTACAACTCAGATAAGTACTTTGAGATATTTATGTCTGCCTTAACTACATAACTCAGCCAGTATAGAAAGTTTATTTTTCTTTGGGTAGGTAAATCTGTGAAGATGGATGGTACATGAAAAAATAAAGAGAAGGAATTCTCCAAGCAGATTTACATATTGATGACTTAAATTACTACTTAATTTAGTGCCTGCTAATAAACAGTGCCTTGGAAATGTTTCCCCAGCATTTATTGGCTGCGGTAATTCTACCTCATGTGTATGTGGATGGCATACTCATTAAATATTGATGGACTCATGAAATGTTAATAGAATGTTAATATGAATTACAATGGAATGTGCTCATAGGGAGCCTGGAGCTGAAGCTGGAGCTGGAGCTGGAGCTGGCTGAAGGCTCTCTATCTTCTGCCTCTGCTTTATGTCCTGTCTTCTTGTATCACTGGTCACTTTGCTTCCCCATCCTGGGGAGATTCAGATTGGTGCCCTGACCTGGCTGCTCAGATACAATTTTTAACAAAGCAAAGGTTAGAGCCCAAAGAGATCTCTTAAGAAGAGGGTGATGGGCTGGGAAGGTGGCTCAGTGGTAGAGCGCTTGCCTTGCATGCCTGAGGCCCTGGGTTCGATTCCTCAGCACCACATAAGCAAAAAGGAAAAAGCCAGAAGTGGCGTTGTGGCTCAAGTGGTAGAGCGCTAGCCTTGAACTGAAGAGCTGAGGGACAGCACCCAGGCCCAGAGTTCAAGGCCCCACGATTGGACCCCACCCCCCCCCCCCAAAAAAAAAGAAGAGGGTGATTCGGGCCTAGGGGCTAATGTGGTAATATATGGCAGATCCTGGCTTTCAATGCCTGTCATTGCTCAGCAGGTCAAAGGATTCAGTTTCCTTAGAGAGAAACCCACCAACACTAACACACATCACCTAAAGGGATCATCAGAAAGGATTTTGCTCCTCAGTCTCCAGGACAGCAAAGCTGTGGTCATGAGGCTGTTCAGTGCATAACTATTTTGTATGGTTCTGTTTTGAATCACTTTTCTTACATCCTCTTAAAGGTCAGAGAGAATTGTAGGTTTGGATAACCTAAGACTTTTAGATTCTATATGCTCTGTGCATGTAATATTTCGTCCTGAGCAGCAGAGTCTTAATTGGAGGAGTGGCTGTCCTCCTTGGTCTGTGAATGCTATTGACTCACTGGGAGCTACGCTTACTGACTCACTCCTATAACCTGTTCCCCATTCCTCTGCAGATTGTTCTGGAGAACAGCAGCCGAGAAGATAAGCATGAATGTCCCTTTGGCCGCAGTAGTATAGAACTGACCAAGATGTTATGTGAGATCCTGAAAGTTGGTGAGCTGCGTAAGTATGCTAATCACCTCCCTATCACCCCTTCCCAGGGTGAAACTGCTAAGGCCAACTTCCCTCTCCACAAAGAATGCCCAAGATACAACAGCTTCTCAACATCAATACTGTGGGTCAGTTATTTGCTGGTTCTACTTTCCAATGTTCCAATTTCTACATGCCTACTCTGGATAGAATTATTCTGAAAGCTTAAAGGGTGAGAGAAATCTGCAGATATTATGTCTGAGTCTCAAATATTATGAAATTGAATATACATCAGAATAGACTGATTCCTGGTTAGGTCAAAAAAATCTGTAGATTTTTTTTTTTTCAAATTTGCGTTTATAACCTATGAGGAGGTCATTTTCTGTTCTTGCTTTCAAAATGATTTTTCTCTGTAAAGAAAAATTGACTACTTTAATGAAATTCTCTTGCTCCCAGTGATTCTGCTGTTTTGAATCCTTGCTCTAAGAGAAAAAAAAAAAAAGAAGAAAAAGAAAATGAGTAGCCAGGAATGAAAAATTGGTCAGAGATAGATTTTTGGCTCTTTTTCCTACTTGCATTATAAAATTTATGAGATGACATCCCAGGAAAAGGGGAGATGATAATTTTCTGCCTTATGCACTTTGGCATAATTTAGTTTGGACTTGTGAAGGTGGATGTGATTTAATCTGCCTCTGTTCTCTTTGTTCGAGTTTCTCCCTGAGTAGCTGACTTCCACTTCCTCCAGCAGGTAGGGAGGCAGGGTCTGGGTCAGTTTTTTTCTCTTAGGCTTCATAAAGTAAGGTACCAGAGAGGGATGTTTGCATTAAGAAAATGTTGGGGCATTGGCCAGTATTGTGAAAAGCATAAATGTGCTGTTAGCTATTTGAGAGCGTAAATTGTGGTCTGGGATGATTAATGGGAAGGAACCCATTGGAGAGAGGCTTTTGTTTTATTGGGATTATAGAGCTAACTATAGGTGCTGCTGGGGGGTGTGGCGGGGAACCAGCATAGTAAACAACAGTGACAGAATTTGAGTCATTTTGACCAGCCAGGAGGCCATATCTACCTGCAGTGAGGGTGGGTTGGGAAAAAGCTGCCCCAGACACAGAGCTTCAACTTGAGTGCGTGATCTCTGACCCCCACTGGGCCATTTTGCAGTAGAACCATGGCTACCCAACTGGAGATTTTCATGTTAACCTGCTCAGCAAATGTTGAGATTTCTGTTCACACAGATCTACCCCACTCCCTAATTAGATCAACTCATGGAGATTTCAGTCTGCAGTACAGCTTACTGTTTATTCAGCTGTAGCATGTAAGTCCTAAGTCAAACAAATCCCATGAAATCTCTCCATCTGATAACTATGATGATTTCAGGTTTATCTCAATTTCATGGGGAAAATTGTTTGAAGTCATTTTCTAAAAGAGAATTTTAAGTCCCTTTGATTTTCTTTTCTTTTGTTTCTTTTTTTTTTTCTTTTCTGGAACTAGGAGACAGCTAGACTGTGTTCTGCTAGTGATTGGCAAGGCTGGGATTTCTGTGTCTAGGTTAGCATCCTTCATTGTCCTGACCTCTCTCACCTTCCCCTTTTCTATCCTTCATGACAGCACACTGGGGCTGCTTGCTTCCATACTGAGAGAGCTGGCATGTGCAATACCCAGCTTTTTGTCCTGTCCTTTGCCCAGTAGGTATATTACCATGCTACAAGTTAACCCTGAAAAGGGACAAAGTGGGCAATAAAGAGAGCTGGGGGCTACCTCTTCCAGGTAGGACATAACTCACCAAGTCTACTGTGTTCTTGCAACTGTATATTCTCCCAGGGCTGATCACCTAGAAAAGGATTGGTAGTATAGTGGGTGATGATCTGAGTGCCTGTCTTCATTTTATGACTGGAATTGTAGGACTGCACTGAGAACAGCCCAGTGGGAATAGATAATACTCAACCTGCAAAGACTTGGAAAACCTGGTGAAAATCTAGAGTGAACCTAGTCAGGGTAAATGTAGACCTAATTTGGTCAGGCCTCCATATCAGAGGGGCCAAATCTGTTGGACAGAGGGACCTGAGAGGTCAGAAGCCTCTCTCCTCAGTCCTCCTCCCTGAGTGTCTTCTGGGCTTGGCAGTCTGGTACAGAAACGTGCAAAGTCGGAGCCCTGGGAATACACACAGCCTTCTGAAGACCTGGTACTCAACCTTAGGAGGCAGATTGGAAACCCATCTAGCATGTGGATAGAGAGTGGGGTAGAGATGCAGCCAAACACTTCAGGGTCCCTGGTGATATTAGGTTCTTGTGTGCTGTCAGCTCCTCTGACTCTGGGAGGAGTGTGTCTGGTGGACACACGCCCCAACTTTCTGATATAGGACATTTAGCATATGCTCAAGCTGACTCTGCAGTTCAACTAGGCTTGGACAGCTGGGACCTGGCAAAGGCAGCTTCCCTTTATCAGAGGTAACAGACACAGCAATTGGTTTGTTTGGAAAACATCTCCTGAATACTTGCTGTGTGCCAACACCTATGATGGACCCTGTAGGTCTAATTGAGCCAGATACAGCTTCTGCCCTCCCCTATTTTGTCCCGCCGTGAGCTTCTAGAAGCTTCTTAGACTTGAGAAAGCTGAAGAACAAGCTTACGCTTCCCTGTGAGATGAAATAGATTACATTTTTAAAGTAAATGTTGATTTTTCTGTTCTAAAGTATAGTTTCTCCCAATGTTTTGACAATTTCACCTTTCCTGTTTGCTTGCTTGCTGACCATCTGAGCATTCCTCGAAGCTTGTAAAAGAAAAGTTCATGTTTCTAAAATCTACAGGCCCAGATGAGTTTGTTTCTGCTCATAAAATATTAAAGGGTTGCTACATTCTGATGGAGTGCTTGGCACCAAATGATAAAACACCCCATGGAAAGAGGAAAATTGCTTTGTTAACAGATTGCCTTTTGCCCCATGCCATATTAAATAAGTTACTAATATGAAAAACAAATCTGAATGCACCCTTATGCTGAAGGAGATACCTATTTTTCTTCTAAGGCAAATTAGTTTTACATAGAAATCCATCTTTCTTTGGTTTTTACACATCTATTTTCCTCATGATTCTGAGCACTTCTCAGATTTGTGTTAAAAACTGACCTTGAAGATCACTGTCAGTCTAGCTTCATAAGCAAATGCTGAGACCAGAAAAATACCCAATTAAAAACCTAACTGGTTAAAAAATGCATGTTTATAAAAAAAGAGACATTCAATTTTCTAGAAATGGTTTCTCTTTTGATTTACTTTTAGCTCCCTTGAGGATCCCACTTCTGAAATACCAATTATATTTTGGTATCAAACAAACATATTAATGTGCAACTGAATTACTGATACCAAATATTTATTTTTTTAAGTTGTGTAAAAAAATTGCACAGTTCTTTGGCTTCCCAATTATTGACAAGAAGCAAATGTTATCTCTAAAAGTACTTTCTAAAATAACTTCTATTTATATTCTCAGGCCACTTTATCAAGGTTATTTAATTGAAGTCTGGAACACCCCTAGGAGTTCAGGCTCAATACCATCCATGTTTATTAATGAAGGGAAGACTTGTGCTGACTGCATATTGTGTGGCTTTTCTGCACTCAGTATGGTGTTCAGGAGATTTGCATAGAAAAACATAGCAAAGTAGAATGGTGACTTTTGAGCTAGAATGATCCATCTTTGAATTACCTCCAAGGCACTTTTTGTATCCCTTGGGCATACTTCTTTTCGGTTCTCAGCCTTTAGCCCTCTATCCAGACAACCATACCTGCTTTTCACAGTCGGTGGAATGCTTCTATGAAGTCATCAGTCCTATCTTAGTTGGAGCATGGTTTAAGTATTTGTGTGTGTATTTGGATGTGATAGGATCTCAACTTTCCAGGAGCAATCTTCAGGTTGACCGAGAGGGGGATGTTGTTCTCACTAGGTGCAGCTGGAATCAGGACCTAGGACAGCACCCCCACTTTCTTCACTATATACTGGCTAAAATTTAATATGCTTGGCAAGCCTGAAGATTTAAATCTGAGGATTTAACCAACTGTGGATTGGAAATGTTTGGGAAATAAGTTCTCTCTGTACTGCATATGTACAAACATTTTTCTTGTCATTATTCTCCAAGTAATTCATAGCTATTTGCATAGAATTTCCATTGTGTTAGGTATTGTAAGTACTGGAGGGATGAGTTTGTATATGAAAAATTATATGCAAATACCACGTGATCTTATATAAAGGAGTTGAGTGTCCTTGGATTTGAGATCCTCTGGGGGGGAGGAGTTCTGTTATCTGTCCTCCATGCGTGACAAGGGACAACTGTATTCTTTTTGTCCTACGTTCTTTGTAAGGCACTATGAGAGCAAGACTTGTGCCCCGCCACCTCCATTTCAACTTCCTAAATCATGAGAAAGAGTTACACCCTTGGAGGGGGTCATATTGTGGGTTGTATGCTTGGCAGAGCCAGTAAGAAGAATAAGGTTGAAGCAGAAGGAGGAGTGGGTCTTCAGAAGAAGAGATTGTTGTATCCATCTGGTGGAGGTGCAGGCAGAGGAGGCACAGGGTTGGCGTCTTTATGTAAGGAAGGTTGGGCTTAGATAAGTGCACAGAGTGAATAGAGGTTGTAGCCGATGAAAACTTCAATCAGTAAGACATCTAGAGGTTTAGAGAATTCTAGTTCTGTGTGGTTAAAGCATAAGCTTTGCATTGAGGCTGGCTCTGGAAACAAGCACCCATTTCTGAGTATCTGCCATGTAAAAGAGTTTGAACTATACCTGACAGACCTTGGAGAACCACAGAAGGGCTTCTCCACAAGGAGAAGGAATGTCCCCTTTGTGGATATAATACTCTAAAATTTGGTTGAGTTTTCGGAATGTGATGAGAACTTGTAAGCACAAGAATATATAGGGCAGAGCAAGGACAAGCCGATCTCAAATAAGTCCCAGCCTTGATAAATGAGCAGCTAGGATGATCTCAGCTGGAAGTAGAAATCTTATCTCATTGGTGAAGTCCAGAGCAGATCGGGTCCCAGGACTGATTAA